ATTCTGAGTGCTTAACACATTCATTAATTATTGTAACAAGTCTTTCAGTTAGGTACCACTGTCCCAGTTTACTGATATGGAAAACTAAAGCTCAGATAAATTATATAAAAGTTCAAGATCACACAGCTTGCAGATAGCAAAGCTGGAGGTCAAATCTGTGAGTCTGGGCTTCAAAATTCATGTCCTTAACCAATGTGAAATACTGCCTCTAGACCTACTGGGGGTGGGGGGGGGGGAATCTTCCTGGCAAACATCTTCACTTTCTGATTTAAAATGTTGTTCAACCAGCTTTTCTTTTGGAAAATCATTTTCTTAGAAACATTAGAAGAAAAAAACTTCTCTCACTTAAAAAAAAAATAGTATCACTATAATAACCTGTGTAAAACCACTCAGTCATGTCCAACTCTTTGCAACCCCATGGACTATAGACTGCCAGGCTCCTCTGTCCATGGGGATTCTCCATGCAAGAATACTGGAGTGGGTTGCTATGCCCTCCTCCATGAAAACTTACCAAACTAGGGATCAAACCCAGGTCTCCCACATTGCCTGTGGATTCTTTTAACATCTGAGCCACCTAGGAAGCCCTGTAAAACCACAGGTACCATCAAAATGAAACAAATATGCAGTAAAGATCAAACATAATATCCATTCTATGTAAATAAATATTTGTCAAGCTTTCTGAAGATCAATATGGCATTTCATTTATGCATTGACTATTAATCTCAATAAACAATAAAAATTTAGATATAATCTGTCCAGTTTTGAAGAGAGGCCAATAATCAAACTCACGTACACAACAATATTATTGAAAAAGGTTAAAAATGAGGACCTACCCTTTGGCCATGATCTCCTGAAGACAGCAAAAATGAACATTCAGAGTCAGCTTGATTCTTCTCTATTAACAGAGCCTTCTAAGATAACAAAATATACCAGAGAGGTGGCCAACTCTTAGAACTTGAGAAGGAAAAAATAATTTTTTTTAATTAGTCACATATACATCTAATAAGAAATTATGATCTGGTCATCCTACAAGAATAGTCACCTAGGATCGAATCACTAAGATTATACTTTGCATAGGCTGAACAGGAAAAGTAAACTGGTCGGTGGCATCACTTCCAAGAATTCAAAGCCACAGTTGCTGTAGGGAAGTCACTGTGTGAGTGTGTGCAAGAAGTCTGAATCCAGAGGAGAGACTATCAGGAACTAGATAAGAATGTATCTGACTCAGGCAGGAGGGAAGGGCAATGCAGTAGAAGTGGAGGGAAAGCTCAGTGAAGCCCATGGTCAGAGGAAATGATGAACAGAGAGAAAAGACTGGGATGGCATTTAGGGAGGAACTGAGAAACCTGCAAGCTCACATTCTGTCCGACTACTATTATCACAAATTAGCCCCCTGGATATCTTTGCTTAGAGAGGGCTTAAGCGAAAACAGAGAACCTACCAGCTGTGCCAAAGAAATCTTTCTCTAGCCATTGAATCTAGACTCTGGAATCTGTACTTCATGTAGTCTTAGTGCAGATTTGAGGATTTAGTTTTGTTTCTGCTTTTGTTCCTAGCCAAAATCCCTCTTGAAACAGTAAGGCTAACCCAAAGCAACAAGACAGTGCTTTTTCCTCATCTAAGTCTTTGACCCTCTGGTTATTTGAAGACAGCTACCATATATGGCCTCTCACCACTAAGTTTTTTGCTTCTCCAAGACAGAAGCAATTGGTCAAGGCTTGCTCTTGTTTCCTGAGTCTCTCCTTCTGAGTGTTCCCTATCCCACTGCCTTCCCATCTATCAATATTTCTAAGGTATGCTGCACAGAACTGGATAAAAGATGCACTGGAGATTAGAAGTACTAACTCCCTTGATCTGAAACTGTGTTTCTACTGATGTAGCCCAAGGTCACAAAGTACCGATTTTTAAACCAGTCAATCAGTGTTTTTACTTAGTTTACTGTCTAACAGTAAACAGTAAACTAACAGTAGTAACAGGCCAAATAAAAATAACCAGATAAAATTCATTCTTTGGGTTTCCTGGAGGTCCAGTTCAAGAGGGAGGGAAAAAAGAAGGGGTGGAACTCCTTGTGACTAACATAGTTTTTACTAGTATCTGCCTTTGGTAAAATTTTGAGATGTGAGTAATCCATAGGCTGCAAATTCCTTAAAGGCAGACCACCGTCCTCTAATTTTAATTTTGTTGTCCACACGAGTGATATTCTTTTGACTTATTGCAGAAATATTTATCAAATAATTACATTTAATGTTGTTCAGTCGCTCTGTCGTGTCCAACTCAGTGCGACCTCATGGACTACAGCACATCAGGCTTCTGTCCTTCACCACCTCCCGGAGCTTGCTCAAATTCATGTCCGTTGAATCGGTGATGCCATCCAACCATTTTGTCCTCTGTCATCCCCTTCTTCTGCCTTCAATTTTTCCCAGCATCAAAGTCTTTTCCAATGAGTCGGAAAAGGCGGCCAAAGAACTGGGGCTTCAGCTTCAGCATCAGTCCTTCCAATGAATATTCAGGGTTGATTTCCTTTAGGATTGACTGGTTTGATCTCCTTTTAGTCCAAGAGACTCTCAGGAATCTTCTCCAACACCACAGCTCGAAAGTATCAATTCTCTGGCGCTCAAACTTCTTTACGGTCCAACTCTCACATTCACAAATGACTACCAGAAAAATCATAGCTTTGACAAGACAGACCTTTAATTAATTACATATAATACTCTGCTTTAAAAAATAAATGTCTCCCCATGCTACTATAGACCATTATTTCTGAGCCCTTGGAATAACCTTAGTACGCCTGAGAACTTGGTCACACCAGATAGTTTATGCTGACAATGTGATTTATGGTGAATGCCTATTTTTATGTACCTGGGACATGCCGTATCAGGTTGTCTACTGGGAGGGTGCTGGGATATCAAGGCTGCACGCCTATGTGACTGAATTTCAATAAAAACTCTGGATTCTAGGGCTCAGGTGAGCTTCCCTGGTTGGCAACACTTCACATATCATGTTGGGAAAATTAAACACTCTCCGTGCATGTCCAATGGAAGAGGATAAATGGAAGCTTGTGACTGGTTTCTCTGGGACTCTACCCTATACATCTTTTCCTGTTGCTCATTTTAATCTGTATCCTTTTATAGTAATAAGCTATAACCAAGGGCATAATAACTTTTTGGGTCCCATGAGTCCTTCTTGTGAACTATTAAACCTGAGAATGGTCTTGGAGATCCCCAACACAGATGTTAACACCAGGTAAGAACAAAAATAGTAAGTAATTTGTGCAAGAGACATTTATGAGGCAATGAACTCCATAGCTGTTACTTTGTCCACTGTCAAATAAAGGCATCTGGTATAACCAGGGAAGGTAAAGATGTTTATAAAATATTTATTTGATGGCACAGTTTAACTTTGCTTTGGATGTCTTGTTCCTTAAAGAGTTTTAGTTATTTTTTTTTCTTTCTTTTTTTTTTTTCCCATTTATTTTTATTAGTTGGAGGCTAATTACTTTACTTCATTGCAGTGGTTTTTGTCATACATTGAAATGAATTAGCCATGGATTTACATGTATTCCCCATCCCGGTCCCCCCTCCCACCTCCCTCTCCACCCAATCCCTCTGGGTCTTCCCAGTGCACCAGGCCCGAGCACTTGTCTCATGCACCCAACCTGGGCTGGTGATCTGTTTCACCCTAGATAATATACATGTTTCGATGCTGTTCTCTTGAAACATCCCACCCTCGCCTTCTCCGAGTCCACAAGTCTGTTCTATACATCTGAGTCTAAAAAATCCTCAATAAACACAAGCATTTCAAAATAGGTTAAAATAAATTTTTATTAAAAAATTGTATTAAATGTTAGAAGAAATTTATACAGAATTCATAAATTCTTTATAAAACAACTGCCAATCTTCCTCCAATTATAATTGCTTTTATGCAGATTCAGAAATTTTGCAGTGAAATAAGGTCTACAAAATATTTCTTTTAAAGCAACACAATGCTAATTTTAGGCAAAATAATCTTTAAAATGGAAATTTTTGCATGCAAGTGAGTGAGCTCTTAAACACCCGTATTCTTTATCACAGCAACAAACGGGAAAATGAACATTAAACTGACTTACTGAGGAAACAGTGAACAAGTATTCTGTAAACCTTAAATTCACGCAAATTTTTAAATTACTTTCAAAAGCAGTACCATTACAAGGTACTGACAATCATACAATGTACTCAAAATTAATGTTAATCAAACTAACAATCAAAAAAATGTTGCAAAGAGGCACCCCTTGTTGTAAGGTATGTTAAATGTGCCTTCATTACACTGAAGACCTAAACCCTACAAGGGACAGTCTCCTCACACACAAAAAATTATAATTCATCCCTTTTAGAAGTGGATATCTCTTTAGTAGTGTTGCTGGTTTGGAAAAAAAAAAAAAAGACATAAGTTCAAAATATAACGGCAACATACAAAAGTGGCCCATGGTTTTGGTCTTTGTCTGAGAGGTACATTCTGTAATTTAACAAAGTCTGGTTTTAAATTTTCAGTTCAAAAGCACACTCCTTTTCCAATTGGATGACTGCCCAACTGATGCCATTCCAAAGAGCAGAATCCCAATCACCAACTTGAAAGGGGTATGGCTCAATGAAGACAAAAACACCGACTGATTTACCTCAAAGATTAGGAAACAAAATCTATATCAAAGTATCTGAAATCATAAAAAGTAAATGCTTTAAAAAACTTCCCCCTGAGCTATGGATGCTTTTTATATAGTCACTTACTAGAGAGACTTTTTACTAAACAGATCTTTCACTAAACAGACGCATTCTATCATTCCAAGTTATACTTAAAAATCCTATGATTTATAAGACTCCTATGATTCTTGGTGCTGAAAATACATGTTACATCCCAAACAGCACAAAATGACAGCAATTACATGTTTCATGGAAATCTTTGGTGAGAATGCAATCCTGCAGAAGCCTCCTTATTTTGTTCACCCACTCCTAATAATCTTACAATCTTCAAGCAATTTTCAAAGGAGAAACCACAAGTCCATAATGAAGGACCAGCAGACCATCCTGAAAAAAAGTGTTCTGCAGTTACTTGAAAACCACTTACATATATGATCAAGTCAAAGATAGTTTATTTTTCATAACCCAACACTAATGTGAAATTCTTTGATTTAAAGAGAATAAAGTTCTAAGATAAAGAAACTTGCTAATCTACTCACCTCATAACCAAACACTCCCTGTTAGTGTGCCTTTTTAATGACTCGTAGAAGAAAATCCTGAAACTACCAGAATCCACAGTTTGTCAAGGTTGTTTACGGCTAAACAGTTCTCCAAAAAGAAATAAAACTTTTCCTCTTGCAGATTATTTAATATATCACCCAACTCTGGACTTCACTAAGAAAGACTATTATCATAGAGTATCATGGGTCTGCTAGGAAATAAAATGTTTATTTCCCATATAAATGCAGCTTACAACTAAAATAAGTGAGAAAACTTCAGAACTCTTACCCATTTAATACATGATACATTTTACTTCCTCCTTGAAGAATGTTCAGTACAATTCACCCTTTCTTTGATACCCATAGTCATCATTATGAACTGTAACTGTACTGAGCTATATAACACAGTGATGTCCTTTGGGGTTGTTGGGAAACTTAACTCAACACTAAATGACTCCAGATACCATGTTTATGAGTCTCTCTCTGTCTCCTTTCTTGATATCAGGTCTTAATTCTTTGTGCTCTCACCAAAGCTGCACCCAGCAAGCAACCTACCTTTTTAAGGTGCTATTTGTAATCTACTATGAAGGAAATGGCAACCCACTCCAGTATTCTTGCCTGGAAAACCCCATGGATGGAGAAGCCTGGTGAGCTACAGTCCATGGACTCACAAAGAGTCGGACACAACTGAGTGACTTCACTTTATGAACTGAAAAACTAGCTTAAAAAGAAGACTCATTGAGAAAGTATGCCATGGGCAATGGGCCTACTTTGAGCAACATTTAGCGGGAGTGGTGGCATACACGCCTTGCATTTCCAACCCTGCTCTAGCTATCACCCTTTCTTTCTTCTTTATTAAGCTTTTTCACGGCTCCACTTCCTCATTTCTCATTCACTATTCAACTCACTGCAATCTGGCTTCTGTTACTGGCAACTCTAGTGAAAACTCATCAGAATTCTAGAAAGGGGTTCACAAATTCAAATACCCACAAAAGCCAGAGAAGTACCATAAATGAATATGTGAGTCAGTTAAGTAGTCAAACAGGGTATGTTGAGACCAGTGGTAAATCATAGCAGATGCTTAGCTAAAGGAACTTAAACTAAAAAAATATTTAAAACACAGAATAAGCCAAATAAAGTATAATCAATCCCATACCATGTTTGGCCTACGGATCATCAGATCTCTTCTGGACTAATTAGTCTAATCAAAGTAAATGAATTTGTATTTTAACACACACAGAAGGATCCTATTAACATATTTACATGAATACAAATTACATTTTACAGAATGTCAATTTTTTGCATATAGTTATGTTTCAGAATTACAAGCTGTCTAAAACCTCAAAACAACTTCAATACATGTATAAAATTACATTTTATGAAATGAGATAATCTTTATAATTCAAATTTATATCTATGTTTATTATGTTTATATTCTGATAAATATACAGGAATATATAAATATTATTTATATTTTATATTTAGATGTCTCCATTCATGGTCTTCTTAAACAATCGAATCAGAGTAAATCCTCTAAAAGATAAATCAGATTATGTCTCTTCTGTCCTTGGCTCAAATCTCTCCAATCTATAGTTTCCCACCTCATTCAATTAAAACCCAAAGTTCGAAGCACAAACTTTAAAGGACACAATGGACCAGCTAGACCTAATTGACATCTATAGGACGTTTCACCCCAAAACAATCAACTTCACCTTTTTCTCAAGTGCACACGGAACCTTCTCCAGAATAGATCACATCCTGGGCCATAAATCTAGTCTTGGTAAATTCAAAAAGATTGAAATCATTCCAGTCATCTTTTCTGACCACAGTGCAGTAAGATTAGATCTTAATTACAGGAAAAAAATTATTAAAAATTCAAACATATGGAGGCTAAACAACACGCTTCTGAATAACCAACAAATCATAGAAGAAATCAAAAAAGAAATCAAAATATGCATAGAAATGAATGAAAATGAAAACACAACAACCCAAAACCTATGGGACACTGTAAAGGCAGTGCTAAGGGGAAGATTCATAGCATTACAGGCCTACCTCAAGAAACAAGAAAAAAGTCAAATAAATAACCTAACTCTACACCTAAAGCAACTAGAGGAGGAAGAAATGAAGAACCCCAGGGTTAGTAGAAGGAAAGAAATCTTAAAAATCAGGGCAGAAATAAATGCAAAAGAAACTAAAGAGAGCATAGCAAAAATTAACAAAGCTAAAAGCTGGTTTTTTGAAAAAATAAACAAAATTGACAAACCATTAGCAAGACTCATTAAGAAACAAAGGGAGAAGAACCAAATTAACAAAATCAGAAACGAAAATGGAGAGATCACAACAGACAACACCGAAATACAAAGGATCATAAGAGACTACTACCAGCAGCTCTATGCCAATAAAATGGACAACTTGGAAGAAATGGACAAGTTCTTAGAGAAGTATAACTTTCCAAAACTGAACCAGGAAGAAATAGAAGATCTTAACAAACCCATCACAAGCAAGGAAATCGAAACTGTAATCAGAAATCTTCCAGCAAACAAAAGCCCAGGACCAGATGGCTTCACAGCTGAATTCTACCAAAAACTTAGAGAAGAGCTAACACCTATCTTACTCAAACTCTTCCAGAAAATTGCAGAAGAAGGTAAACTTCCAAACTCATTCTATGAGGCCACCATCACCCTAATTCCAAAACCAGACAAAGATGCCACAAAAAAAGAAAACTACAGGCCAATATCACTGATGAACATAGATGCAAAAATCCTTAACAAAATTCTAGCAAACAGAATCCAACAACATATTAAAAAAATCATACATCATGACCAAGTGGGCTTTATCCCAGGAATGCAAGGATTCTTTAATATCCACAAATCAATCAATGTAATACACCACATTAACAAATTGAAAGATAAAAACCATATGATTATCTCAATAGATGCAGAAAAAGCCTTTGACAAAATTCAACATCCATTTATGATTAAAACTCTCCAGAAAGCAGGAATAGAAGGAACATACCTCAACATAATAAAAGCTATATATGACAAACCCACAGCAAGCATCACCCTCAATGGTGAAAAATTGAAAGCATTTCCCCTGAAATCAGGAACAAGACAAGGGTGCCCACTCTCACCACTACTCTTCAACATAGTTTTGGAAGTTTTGGCCACAGCAATCAGAGCAGAAAAAGAAGTAAAAGGAATCCAGATAGGAAAAGAAGAAGTGAAACTCTCGCTGTTTGCAGATGACATGATCCTCTACATAGAAAATCCTAAAGACTCTACCAGAAAATTACTAGAGATAATCAACGAATACAGTAAAGTTGCAGGATATAAAATTAACACACAGAAATCTCTTGCATTCCTATACACTAACAATGAGAAAACAGAAAGAGAAATTAAGGAAACAATACCATTCACCATTGCAACAAAAAGAATAAAATACTTAGGAGTATATCTACCTAAAGAAACAAAAGACCTATACATAGAAAACTATAAAACACTGATGAAAGAAATCAAAGAGGACACAAACAGATGGAGAAATATACCGTGTTCATGGATTGGAAGAATCAATATTGTCAAAATGGCTATACTACCCAAAGCAATCTACAGATTCAATGCAATCCCTATCAAACTACCAACGGTATTTTTCACAGAACTAGAACGAATAATTTCACAATTTGTATGGAAATACAAAAAACCTCGAATAGCCAAAGTAATCCTGAGAAAGAAGAATGGAACTGGAGGAATCAATCTGCCTGACTTCAGACTATACTACAAAGCCACAGTCATCAAGACAGTATGGTACTGGCACAAAGACAGAAATATAGATCAATGGAACAGAATAGAAAGCCCAGAGATAAATCCACGAACCTATGGTCACCTTATCTTTGACAAAGGAGGCAAGGATATACAATGGAAAAAAGACAACCTCTTTAACAAGTGGAGCTGGGAAAACTGGTCAACCACCTGTAAAAGAATGAAACTAGAACACTTTCTAACACCATACACAAAAATAAACTCAAGATGGATTAAAGATCTAAATGTAAGACCAGAAACTATAAAACTCCTAGAGGAGAACATAGGCAAAACACTCTCCGACATAAATCACAGCAGGATCCTCTATGACCCACATCCCAGAATTTTAGAAATAAAAGCAAAAATAAACAAATGGGACCTAATGAAACTTAAAAGCTTTTGCACAACAAAGGAAACTATAAGCAAGGTGAAAAGACAGCCCTCAGATTGGGAGAAAATAATAGCAAACGAAGCAACAGACAAAGGATTAATCTCAAAAATATACAAGCAACTCCTCCAGCTCAACTCCAGAAAAATAAATGACCCAATCAAAAAATGGGCCAAAGAACTGAATAGACATTTCTCCAAGGAAGACATACAGATGGCTAACAAACACATGAAAAGATGCTCAACATCACTCATTATCAGAGAAATGCAAATCAAAACCACAATGAGGTACCATTACACACCAGTCAGGATGGCTGCTATCCAAAAGTCTACAAGCAATAAATGCTGGAGAGGGTGTGGAGAAAAGGGAACCCTCTTACACTGTTGGTGGGAATGCAAATTAGTACAGCCACTATGGAAAACAGTGTGGAGATTTCTTAAAAAGCTGGAAATAGAACTGCCATATGACCCAGCAATCCCACTTCTGGGCATACACACCGAGAAAACCAGATCTGAAAGAGACACATGCACCCCAATGTTCATCGCAGCACTGTTTATAATAGCCAGGACATGGAAGCAACCTAGATGCCCATCAGCAGATGAATGGATGAGGAAGCTGTGGTACATATACACCATGGAATATTACTCAGCCATTAAAAAGAATTCATTTGAATCAGTTCTAATGAGATGGATGAAACTGGAGCCCATTATACAGAGCGAAGTAAGCCAGAAAGATAAAGACCATTACAGTATACTAACACATATATATGGAATTTAGAAAGATGGTAACGATAACCCTATGTGCAAAACAGAAAAAGAGACTCCTATGTATAGAACAGACTTGTGGACTCTGGGAGAAGGCGAGGGTGGGATGTTTCAAGAGAACAGCATTGAAACACGTATATTATCTAGGGTGAAACAGTTCACCAGCCCAGGTTGGGTGCGTGAGACAAGTGCTCGGGCCTGGTGCACTGGGAAGACCCAGAGGGATTGGGTGGAGAGGGAGGTGGGAGGGGGGACCGGGATGGGGAATACATGTAAAAAAAAAAAAAAAAGATACACTATGGTTGTGATAAAAAATAAATAAATAAATAAATTTAAAAAAAAAAAAAAACCCAAAGTTCATACTACAGCCTATAAAGTCCTGCACGGTTTTATTCTGTCAGATCTGAGCTCCTCCCTCTCTCTCCCTCACTTGCTACATCTTAGCTTTCCCACTGCAGAGATGTATTATTCATTTAGCAAAGAGGTCCTGAGATTACATGACACTTACATAGTTATCAATGAGGACTTTAATTAAAAATATTCTTTAAATTGAAGTCATACTTTCTACCCACTCCATTGACTTTGGGATTTTATGCCTAGCTTTTTATATTTCTAATCAAGCTTAACTTTTAAAAAGACAATATTTTCTAAGATTTCTGAAGTCTGATTTTATAAAAATCTTAGGAAATGTCTTTTTTATAATTTAAATATGCTTTACTTAGCCAACGATTTTACTTTTGTATTTTATGAAGATCTTTTGAATTATTTGTTACTAAAATGTAAACAATTAGTACAGTACTATATTTCTAAAAACATGTAAGAATAATCAAATAATTACCCAAATAAATATTCAGCTACCCCTTCATTAAGACCCTAAGCTTTAAGTTCAACTTTTTCAACAGGTGAACCTTGATTTTACCACTAACTAACCAAGTGATCTTGGGCAAGGTACTTAATCTCCATACACCAGTTTTGTCATCTATTGGATTCCCCAATGGATTTCGAACTAGAGGGCAAAATTCCAAAAGAAACTGGATTTTTCTCTTCATTAAAATTGTAGGTCTTATCTTGTTTTCATTTATCCTTATTAGATTTCACACTATACTTCCCACTCATATTACAGGCTACTTAAAACACTGTAACAGTTACCATGGTTTCTCACCAACTGAGCTAGGAATGGTATGTGAAATCTCTACAGATTAATGAGTATCTGCAAATTTTTCTTAAAAACACGTCCTTGCAGATACATTTGCCCAGCAGTCTTCAAAGCTCTACTGCAGTATGGGACAGAGAAGAAAAACAGGCTCTAGAATCAAACTGCCTGGGGTTTGAGCCCTGGCTCACACACTCACTCACTGTGGATAAGTTACAGGTCCTTTCTGTACCTTACCTGTGCGTGCTCAGTCACTTCAGTCACGTCCGACCCTGTGCTACCCCATGGACCACAGCCCGCCAGGCTCCTCTGTCCATGGGATTCTCCAGGCAAAAATACTGGAGTGGGTTGCCATGCCCTCCTCCAGGGGATCTTCCCAACCCAGGGATCAAACCCAGGTCTCCCGCACTGCAGGCAGATTCTTCACCATCTGAGCTCCAAGGAAATCCACCTTACCTGTACCTTTCCTTATCTTTAAAACTGGGGATAAAAGAATACCTACCTCATAAAACTATGATGAGTAAGAGAGCTCATCATTACAAATCATTTAGAAAAGTACCTGACACACAGTAAGCATCCAGTAAACATTAGCTTTATTATAGTCCAGATAAGTTTAATTATAGAATGTTTACTAAAACCATGATAACATGGAACACTCTTCTTTCATTAAATAACTTACCTGTTGGGCATAAATATGGTAGACCTACCTGCATTGCTGCATCGCCTATTGCACGTCGAATTTCCCTTAGAGTTTGATACCGTTCTAACAAATGATCACCACAGATGATGTCTACCTACAGGCAAATAAGAGGATAAGTTTGCTTTCCTGCTTCAAAAAACCATATTAAAAAAGAGGAAGATCAACATAATTATTTTTAGACTAGACTTTGCTATTTTGTTTTATATTTATTTATTTTTTATTCTGACCATGGCATGTGGGCTCTTAGTTCACCAATCAGGGATTGAACCCATATGCCCTGCACTGGAAGCGCAGAGTCTTAACCACTGAACTGCCAGGAAGGTTCTGACTTAACTATTTTAGACTGATTAATGCTCTTATGAAAGAGTTTATTTACAAATAAAATGGGATGAGCATAGAGGACATGGCACAACACAGAACACAGCAGATATTCCAGATGGTTTCCTTGAATCTCTCAGAACAAGTTAAATCATACTTGATTTGTTCCCCATAAGATGGCACAGAAAATTACATTTTTAAACAGTTCCATGACACAATGATTAAGGGCTTATAATGCTTCAAAAGGCAATCGTTAGTTGTTTGAATGATTTTCTTATTAAGGAATATCTCATTTTCCAACAATGAAAAGTCTAACACTGATATAAAGTACACAATAAGGCATTGCGTTTTATGGGCAGAACAATCTTAACAAGGTCTTTTCAGCCTTTTCAGTAATGTCAAAGCTCTAAGATAAATCTCCTTTTATACTGAATGTTCTAGACAGGACAATATGGTTGTACAGTCATATACTATATTGTATATGATTCCAGTATATTCACTTGCTAGAAACAGAAATGAAGTCTTTGTATACTCTTTCACTGAGTACCCCTTTTCCACTGCTTTAAAATGGGAACAGGTCCTCAACATCTTATTAACACATATCACTTAAGAGACTCCGTCTCCTAAGACTCCTATTTAGCTTATGGCACGAGATTCTTCCCTGCTCCAAACCAGAGTATCACCTCTTAACTCCTATTTTTCCTCTTCCTTTCTTCTCACATGCAATCAGCTACGCGTGCAATCTCACATGCAAAAAGCTACAGGTGTAGCTTCTTTCTTCATAATACCTTTTATGTTCATATCATTCTTTCAAGTGCTGCCTTCAGGCTTAAACCACTGAAATCATCTCCTAACCAGATTCCTAACTTCAAATTCTGTTTACTCTAAAAATCCTACACAATGCCAACATGTTAATCCCCCTAAAACCTTTAGCATGCTTGGGTAAGACTAAAAAAGCACCTACATTTAACTGAGCAGCCACCATGCACAGCATACATTTATTTATTTTACATATGCTATCTCATATCATTTTCACATTCCTGTGAGTTAGGTACTGTAATTCCCACTTTGCAGATAGGGATGCTAAGAAGTAAAGACATTAAATTTCCTAAAATCACAAAGCCAGTAAGCAGCAAAGTTCAGATCTGAACCCAGGTCTATTTCCAGGTCTATCTTTCTCCAAAAATCAGTGCATGTCGGGGATTGGCAAACTTTCTATAAAGGGCTAGACAATAAATATTTTAGGCTTGTAGGCCACAAGATCACTGTTACATGTGCTCAATTCTATCACTGTAGTATAAAAGCAGCCATAGGATGGCTGTTAAAATAAAACACTGTTTATAAAAAGATGGCAGGCTAGATTTGGCCTGTGGGTCAGTTTGTCAAGCCTTGTGCTATCTCACAATGAATAACCTCCAATTAGTAACAACTCTTGTTTTATGCTTACCAGTTTTAAAGTTGGTAGAGCAATATCTGTTAGCAAAGGACTTGAAGGCAGTAACAGCTGATGTTGTGTACAGAACTTAGATCCAAGAAAAATTACAGAACTTAGAAACTAACATTATGTTTTTACTAAGTATCCACCAGTCCAGAGACCACCACTCTTAGTGGGCTTCACCATATGGTATACATTTATGACTTGGTTACTACAAATTTTCAACTTAATCCCAAGAGGTTAGCCAGTTACTAACAGTTTGATGCATATGATCCTAGATGCTATGTGTGCATGCAGGGATTTTATTTTCATAGAAATGGGATCATGTCACATATTTTGTTCTACATATTCTTAAAACATACACGCACACACACACACACCCCAAAACCTTAATATACCACAGACATCTTTTGGAAAACATAGTTAACTCTCTGACTTTAATAACTGCACAGTGTTCCATTTTATGAAATATACCATAAATTATATATCCATTCTCCTCAGAAACATTTGAACTGCTTCTCACTTTACCTGTTGATTAACTCAGTTCATTCAAACAGAGTCACATCTTTGAGGATGTCACAAATATGACCCACATATTTGATAATTTGGTGGAAGGACTCAGCATATTCACAGTTATGATTTACTACAACAACACAGCAAAGATATAGTCAGATCATCAGCAAGGTAAAAAGATATAGGGAGAGTCTGCAGAAATCCATGCACAGGCTTCCTTTGCTCTTCCCTCCCAGTCCAGGAAGCAATACTCCCACAACACTCTTTTCTCTAGCAGTAGAAATGCAGCCAATTTGTGCAGTGTCTCTGCCAGGGAAGCCCACTTGAGGCTCAGAGTTTAGGGTTTTTACTGAGGCCTGGTCATGCTGGCATTCTCTGCTTAGCAACTACCAAATTCCAGACTCCCAGAAGCAAAGCAGGTATTCATTGTTTGTTCAGTCCAGACACAGGGAAACATGCAATAGTTAGGTAAGTTTTCATATTAGTGCAGGGAACTTTTTACAAGCTAGCTCCCTAGATGCTAGGCAAGAGCCAACCTTGTAAGCCAGCCCTTCTACACACAGCAGCCTCAGGTCTGCTTTGTTAACTCTTTTCGGCATAATCTTTCCAACCTCTGGAGTATTAAGTCTTAGACAGGAAGGATAACGACAACATTTCTGAATCTCAGAGCAGAAATCAGAATGTGAAGATAGTCTTAAGGGAAAAAAAAAAATCCTTAACTTTTTAAAAGCAAGATCACACTAAAGCTTCCAAGACAGAATTTTTCACTGAATGAGCCAGTGCCACACTCATCCCTCTTTGTTCATATATACTCTTTTCTTTGATAGAAAGTTCTTTTCTTTATCTGGCCAAAAAAAAAAAAATCCATTCTGCAACTCCTTTGACAAATTCAGAGCTAAATCATTCACTCTGTGCTCCTGTTGTACTCATCATATCCTACTGTCATTTTATATCTTTCCCACACAATTCTGAGTTGCCTGACAGCATGAATTTTCTGTCTCAGGTCTGTACTGGATGCCAAGCACATAGACTGCTCAATTTAATATTAACAGATAGTAAATGAATGGTAGGAATATACCATATGACACATTGGAATCTCCGTAAGATAAATGATTTGGAAACAATTCAGTGGTATGGTTAAGGGTTAAGGTAATATACTAAATAAATAATAATAAAAAGGAACTTATCGGGACGTCCCTGGTGGTCCAGTGACTAAGAATCCCCCTGCCAATGCAGGTTCTATCCCTGGTCCAGGAAGATCCCACATACCTGAGGCAACTAAGCCTGTGCACAGCCTCAATTACTGAGCCCGTGTGTCACAATTACTGAGTCCATGTGCCTAAAGCCCATGCTCTGCAACAAGAGGAGCCACCACAGTGAGAAGCCTGAGCACTGCGAGGAAGAGCAGCCCCTGCTCAGGGCAGCTGGAGAATGTTTGCGCACAGCAACAAAGACCCAGCACAGCCAAAAAGTAAAGTAAATAAATCAATTTTAAGGAAAAAAACCTGTCTTACAAGATGGAATTCAAAATTTACTACTACATTTTTTACATAGAAAATATTTAGTGATAAATGTGATAAGCATTTTATAAAACCAAAAATAAGATCAAATGATGTACAAAGGAATATCCCACAAGAGTTGGTTTAAAAAAAAAAAACACAAAAAACAAGAAGATAGAGTAAGACATGAATAAATTCAAAATACCACTAAATCAACCATGATAATTCAAAGACACTGGGGTCTCTATATGAAAAAAATGCACTCAGATAATTATTGATTTCTGATTTGAATTAACTTAAATCTCTTAAGAACACAAGATCTATATTTTTTTTATCTTTTAGAACTATCTTCCTTTTTTATTTTTATCTGCCACAAATAAATAATATCTTTAAAGGTATTTTATCATTTAACAATCCCTTAGTAATCATTCATTCCTGCTGGTAAATAACCATTCATGAAGGTCACATATCTGTAAACAAAGCATACATTTTCTATTTGGAACTAAATGGTTTTAAAGAAGGTCAGCACAGAAGACTCAAGTGAATTGTTTAATGGTTAACTATTTTGTCTAATGGTTAACTATTAACCATTGGTGTGCTCAGTCCATGGGGTCTCAAAGAATTGGACATGACTGAGTGACTAAACTGAACTGAATGGTTAACTAGCTCAATGTTTCATTCATATTAGAATTAACTCTTATTTATTTTCTCTTGGATTTAGAAAGCTTCAACAATTTTAGTCACAAATGGGTCTGCATAAGTGATAATTATCTGTTCTATTATTTTAACATTTTGGTGAAATAGTAATTTATGAATGTTACCAGCTATATAGTACCTGAATTAGAAAAAAATATTTACCTAGAGAACCAAGACCTGAGAGAGAAAATTAAAGACTGAAACAAATTTCAGTGTTAAAAGCCTTGAATTCCTGGAGAAGGAAATGGCAAGCCACTCCAGTATTCTTGCCTGGAGAATCCCATGGATGGAGGAGCCTGGTGGGCTACAGTTCACGGGGTCGCAAAGAGTCGGACATGACTGAGCGACTTAACTTTCTAACTTAGGTAAGAAATTAGAGAAACAGCGTGGAGAAAACTTAACAGAGAGACTACAATTCACACTATACTTAGATAACCTAAGTGTTTGTTATACACTTAATTTATGGGAAGCTAAACAAAACTCTTTTAAATATGATGCAGGATGTACAACAAGCATATTTTCCCAAACTTACCTGCTCGACCTCTCTATTGAGGGCATCTACTTTTAAAAAAAAAAAAAAAAAGCCTTGAATTCTATGAAATGAGGGAAAAAATAAACCCACATTTTTTTTTAATTTTTATTTTTATATTTTTTTCATTTATTTTTATTAGTTGGAGGCTAATTACCTTACATCACTGCAGTGGTTTTTGTCATACATTGAAATGAATTAGCCATGGATTTACATGTATTCCCCATCCCGGTCCCCCCTCCCACCTCCCTCTCCACCCGATCCCTCTGGGTCTTCCCAGTGCACCAGGCCCGAGCACTTGTCTCATGCACCCAACCTGGGCTGGTGATCTGTTTCACCCTAGATAATATACGTGATAAACCCACATTTTTATATAATAGTCAATTTAGAGTTTTGGCAACCAAATTTCTTAAAACACCAAATGTGAAATTTATCAATGGCTCTGATCAATATCTAGCCACAGAGGAAGTAATCTATACCCTAAAGAAAGCCTCTTGGGTGCCACTTCTTATTCTATATAATCAGGTGCAACTCTTCTGATTTCTGCTCTTAGAAATAATAGACTATTATGGGGTCACTCACAATTCTTTGTTCAGGAGTCTGTAAACAGCTATCTATTTCTCACCAAAAGACTAAGAATAAAGGTAATATATAAGTCATTTCCAGTTTTCAGCTACCATGAGATATAGCTAGCATTATGTCAAAGTCAGTAAGGGAAGTCACATCTAACTGCATTTAATATATATTTGGAGGAGGGCACAGCAACCCACTCCAATATTTTTGCCTGAAGAATCCCTACGGACTGAGGAGCCTGGCGGGCTACAGTCCAGGGGGTTGCAAAGAGTTGGACATGACTGAACAATATATATTTAGTACCAACAGATATTGATACTAAAAGCATAGCAAAATTTCAGCTAGTTTTAAAATATTTACTAACTTAATCTTTAGTAAGTAGATATTTTCGAAAAAAAGTTATTCTGTGAAATTTTACACATGATGAAGAATAACAAAAAATCCCTCTTAAATTTGACTAATGAAACAGCAAAACTATATAAATGTGCATTTTCACTGGCCCACATTACTAAACTATGAGTATATTTACACTTTATATTCAATAATACATGGTGTTTGAGATTTTCATCTTACAAAAGAAAGTATTATACAACTACAATGGAAGATCTTTTTCAATCCTTAGAAAAATAAGAGTCTATACTAGATAGATATTTCACTTTTCTAGGTGTCCTGAGCTAGATACTGATACAAGGATGGCCTCTGAAGAGACTGAATGGATAGAAAAGTATACTTTTGCTCTCCTATCAAAAAGAAAAAAGCTGGAGCTGAGGCCCTAGAAGCTGTTTAATCATTCTCATATCCTCAGCTTTTCTTTGACACCCAGAGACGGTAATCAATGGCAGCAAGAGACAGCCAGTATGTCAAATATGATTAAAATTTGGGGGTAGGGATCACTGTGTGCCAATATTCAATTACTACTTATAACATTTACAATGTCATAAAACAAAAGCCACTGCATGAAATCCTGGAGATGGTTCCTTCTTCAATATGCTAAAGGTAATCTCACAACTTCTCCTGTTTTTTTAATATTTATTTTTATTTGGCTGTGCCAGGTCTTAGTTGCAGCATGTGGGATCTAGTTCCCAGACCAAGGACTGAACCCAGGCCTTCTGCATTGAGAGTGTGAAGTCCCAGCCACTGGACCACCAGGGAAGTCAGTCCCTTTCCCTGACTTTTTATATACATATACTCCACCTGACAAGCTGGATCAAGACCCATTTTTCTTCTGAGAAATTTTTCTACATGTCCAATAGTTGCTTCTCCTGAAACTCGGACAAACTTCTTTTCCAATGGCTACAAAAGTAAACAAACAAACCAATTTCAGTTGAAAAATACATAAAATGCACAAACCTTAAAACACATTTTATAGCAAAGATGATTCAAAAGATTTACAAAAGAAAGTTTGAGTTAATTTATCTATCCCATACAAAAAAAGAATTTTTGCTTAGCTTCTCCTCTCTAAAAAATGTCAACAATTTTTTAATACAAAGGCTTTAAAACTTAGAGCAAAATTTATTGCAGTGAATTCCCAAAATTCAATGTCTAAAAGAACATAGCCTCCTCAACAAAAAAACTGCAAGGAAAAAAAAAAAAAACAACCAATCAAAGAGTAGGAGGAATCCATAGACTAAAAAAAAATAAGGCCTATAAATAAGAGATATCAACCAATTACAATATATGGATCTTATTTGGATCCCGATTTTGAAAAATCTATAAAACAACTTTCATAGGAAATTTAAATAGCATGTGGATATTTGATTAGGAATTACTGTTAATTTTTAAAACTATAGCATCATTATTATATTTTTATAAAAAGTCCTCATCTTTCAGAAATAAACTGAATTATTTACTGATAAAATGACAGTCTTAGATTTGCTTGAAGATTATATAGAAGCGATAAAGGTAAAGATGAACTGAGATTGGCCATGATTTTATAATTATTGACATTAAGTAATACACGTACATAGGCATTCATTTTACTATCGTCTACCTTGTATGAGTTTGAAATTTTCTTGCAGTAGTGGAAAATGGCTGGAATCTGATCCAATGGTCTAAGGTGATGGGTAGAGAAACCATAGGGTTTTAAAGTAGAAACAAACTAAATGCTTACCCTGCTATTCTCTCTCTGAGGCAATTAAAAGGATATTACTATTTTTTTTCCATTTATTTTTATTAGTTGGAGGCTAATTACTTTACAATATTGTAGTGGTTTTTGCCATACATTGACATGAATCAGCCATGGATTTACATGTGTTCCCCATCCCGATCCCCCCTCCCACCTCCCTCTCCACCCGATCCCTCTGGGTCTTCCCAGTGTACCAGCCCCCAGCACTCGTCTCATGCATAAAAGGATATTATTATTAACAAAAATGAAAAGCTGGGGTAATAAGAACTAAAAGGCATCTTTTAGGAAAACACAAAGTATTTTTCTAGAACCAGCAAAAAGGAATCTTAGAATTGTTACCAAAAGGACTCAGGCAAGTTAATCACGTATTTGTCCCATGTAACAGCACTCAGCTCTCTTCTCTGTAATTTGGTTTCTTAAGAAATTTCCTAACGATAGCCTTATCCCTAAATACCATAGTGCAACAGATAGCATATTAAGTGCAAATATTCCAGAGACAGACTGCCTGGGTTTAAACCCTGGTTTTGTAATTTTCTAGCTGCAAGTCTTTGGATAACTTGCTAAAGCTTTTTGTGTCTCCATTTCCCCATTTGTAAAGCAGAGATACTAGCAGCACCTACCTCACAGAATTATCATGAGAAAAAGGTGTTAAAAAAGTAAGAGTGTGTGTGTGTGTGTGTTAGTTGCTCAGCTGTATCTGACTCTTTGTGAGCCCGTGGACTGTAGCCCACCAGGCTCCCCAGTCCATGGAATTCCTTAGGCAAGAATACTGAAGTGGGTTGCCAATTCCTCCTCCAGAGGATCTTCCTGACCCAGGGACTGAACCTAGGTCTCCTGCATTGCAGGTGGATTCTTTACCGTCTGAACCACCAGAGAAGCCCTAATATATGTAAATAACTATAAATAATTCCTGGCACGCAGTACGTACCTAGTTATTACTAGTGCACTGATTTATTGTGCTCCTTTATGTGAAGGAATGTAATTAGAGGACCTAGTTGTCATCATGGATACTGATATAATGCAGACAAAAATGGCAAAGGTTCATGTCTTTTTAACACAGGTTTAAGAATCATCTTGAAAATCTATGGCAGTTTCTCACTAAGGAGCACAAACAGCAGTGCTCCAAGTGCAGTCTTGATGAAGGCACTGCACTGTAGGTACCATTGCCTGAATAGCCTGAATCCTATCAAGTGCCTTGAAAAGCTGCAATTCTGGGTTATCTAGCTAGATGCCTGCCTGGCAACAAGTGCATTTCTGAAGGTCAATTTCTCATTACCATCTTAATAGTAGGCTTCTGGTACACCAACAGAGGATAGTTCAATATTCCTCATTTCTAGTTCTTAATGAGCACTTCACCCCTATGTGTTTGTTAAGATTAATCCAACTTAGTTGAGGTTATCGATACTGTACTTTTTAGATTATCCAGAACAGAATTATGAAATCTGACAACATCTGAAAGAAAACGCTGTCCTTAGCTTTCAAAGTTGGGTTCTCACATCGTTACCTTTAGTCTTCATACTCCAGGCTCACAAGGTAACACTTTCTTCTGCTATAATTTTCAGATCCTGCGTTTTTAGAAGAAAATGTACCTTCTGATTTTTGCTTTTTTTTCTTAAGGCTATAACCCAGTTCTCACCTAAATGGTCAACTTAGTTTTTTTTCCTGCTACATCTAATAGCCTCCTACCATCTGCACATAAACAGAAAAGTAAAATTTCCCAGAAGAATTATATTTCTTTGAAATTAAGCACAAAAATCTTCCCTACCACCTGTTAACACAGAAGGTCAATTTGATAAGAAAGCTGGAGTAATGAGATAAAATCTATAGGGAGATTTAAGAGACATTCAGTTATTTCCTGGCTATAGAAAATGCATACTACTAAAAATATCTTTTAAAAAGATCAACTCATTTTACCTTGAAGAAATTCCTGCCTCTGTCAACTGAAAATAGTTACCAACCCAGTAGCAAGGTAAATTCCGAGCAACCAGATTGTAATTCTGAAATACCACTCAAGGATACCTTGGAGAAATGACCAGTTCTGTCTGGGGCAAGAGATGTACGAGTTGAGTATGAAATATCTTGTTATTACAGCCATGATTATCTTAAGATATGACAATTTGAACATCAAAATAGATAATTAAGATGGATTTAAATCACAAATATATTTAAACGCAAAGTAAAACAAAAACCCTGATTATGACTGGAGCATGCTAAAGAATCAACTCATTATTTTGAACCTGGTAAGTAAAGAGAAAGAATCAGCATTTATCCTTTCTTTCCTATATGAATGGTATTGCTGGCTAACCAAACAGAAGTTTCCCTTATAGAAGTATCTCAATAATCAGAGGAGGAATAACAACATCCTTTTCCAAACCCTGTTAATGGACTTGACACTGACTACCAATACTTGTTAGCATTACAAACACACACAAAAACAGAGACACAAACAACCAGACATCATGTGCCTCCAGGTGGACAAAACACCCCCACCTATAAAGTATTCTTAGTTCCCTCAAGTCACACCTGTATGATCAACATTCAGACTTAACTACCAGTTTATGAGCAAGACAGAAGAACTTGTTAAATTACAGAGATGTAACATCAAAACCCAATCTGTAGGAAACCATATAGCACAAATGACTCAGTTTTGTCAACAATGAACTGCAAGAAAAAAGAAACAGAAATGAACTGCGAGAAAAAAGAAACAGAAAGCTTACAGATTTAAAGATCTATCAACCAATCACAATGTACGAACATTATTTGGATTTTGATTTAAAATAAAACACTGCGACTAAGATAAAAATTTGTACACTGACTAGATACCTTGTAAGAAACATCTTTTTTTGTTGCCTACTTTCAATCTTCTGAAAAATCACAAACTTACAGAGAGGTTATAAGACTAGTAAAATGAAGATCCAGATAGACTTCACCTACTTTATGAACTAGAATATTAACATATTGCTATATTTGCTTTATCTCTTCCAACGTATATGTATGTGTGTGCACATACATGGACACTTATTATTTCTTAAGTTGCTGCTGCTTAGTCACTCAGTGTGTCTGACTCTTTGCAATCACATGGACTATATAGCCCACCAGGCTCCTCTGTCCATGGGGATTCTCCAGGCAAGAATACTGGAATGGGTTGCCATGCCCTCCTCCAGGGGATCTTCCCAACCCAGGGATCAAACCCAGGCCTCCCGCATCGCAGGTGGATTCTTTTCCTGTCTGAGCCACTAGGAAAGCCCATTTTTTAAGTTACCTGCAGACATTGAGATATTTTACCCCTAAATATACCTGCAGTTATCTTCTCAGAATAAAGGGACTCTCCCTCATAACTACAATATAATTATTAGGAAATTTATAGACATATTCAGGAAATTTATAACAATACAATGCAATTATCTAAATGGGTCCAAATTCAAATTTTTCCAATGCCTAATAATGTCCTTTGTATGTTGTTCTTATTTCAATCCAGAATCTAATGAAAGAATGCACACTGCATTTTGTTGTCATGCTTCTCTAATTTCCTTTAGTCTAGAGTAGGTCTGTCACTTTATTTTTATCTTTCACAACACTGACATTTTTGTAACTTGTTTTTTTTTGGTGTGATACATGGTCACTAAAAAAAAGGGACTCATCTTTTAAGAGTACTGAAATACTTTACAGAGGAAGTGGCAAAATACCAGGGATTTGTTTCAGAAAAACATCAGAAAGAAGGGAAGCGTGGGGAGTCCCTGGTGGCCTAGTGGTTAGGATTCAGAGCTTTCATTGCCATAGTACGGGTTCAATCTCTGCTTCGGAAACTGAGATCCCATAAGCCCGTGGCAAAGTCCCCCAAAAAAGAAGGGAAGTGGATGGAATTATAAAAGAAATTCAACTGGTCATTAGTTAACTGGTAAAACTGTGTGATGGATGCATGGAGGTTCTAGTCTGTCTACTTTTCAGTATGTTCAAATATTTTCATAATTAAAAGTTAAAGAAAAGAAGATTCCTGGGAAAAATTTTCTGACATGTATTACTGCTTGGTGAAATATTTTTAAAGTGAATGCAGCAAACAGACTTTATGATTGTCATGCCATAAGTGTATGTGGTGAAAAGTTTAACTAGGCATTATCCTAGCCAGACATATTTATTCGAACTCCAAATAAGAAATAAAAGCAGCTTTTTAAGCAGTAGATTATACTCAGCTATAATATAAAAAACTGTAACTAGAACTCCCCTATAAATGCAGAATTAAAAGAAAAATGATAAGATTGCCAAAGTGTTAGCTAAGAAAGTATTTTTTAAAAAGACTGTTTTAGCAAAGTAAAAAGTCAAAAAATGCAAAAATAGGATCATTTGTTTCTAAAACAATACATTCATTACCTCATACAGACATACGCCTGCAAATTAACATGGGACTCTTTAGTTAACACTGAAAACTTAATGCTTCAAAAGTTTAATAATAGTATAAATAAACTCCTATAAACAGCTTTATCAACTCAAAGTCAATCTTGTTTTAAATAAATCCCACCCTTTTCCTATCCCAACTGCTTCCTGGCCCCCATTCCCCAGGCTTGTTTTGAAACAAACCCCTTACATATCATTTCCTTTGTAAATACTTCAGCATGCATCTCTAAAAAATAAGAACTCTTTTTAAAAACATAATACTACCACCATACTTTAAAATTCCTTAATATCAGAAAATAGACAGTAAGTGTACAAATTTCACCAACTGTCTCAATTTTTTTACCTAGTAGAAAATTATTTTATTTTTAGGGTTGTCATTACAGAGAGAATAAAAATTTTAATTTATGTATATATTATTTTTATCAGATATATTTTTGTTTTCTCAAAATGTATGCACTAAATTTATTACAAACAATGCTTCTATTTGAAGTTTTCTTGGCCTTGGCTTGTTTTTTAACAGATTTACTGAGATATAATTCACTTATCATTAAATTCACATTTTAAAGTATACAATTCAATGGTTTTTAGTATATTTATGTAGTTGTGCATCTATCACCATTACCTAATTTCCGAACATCACCCAAAAAGAAATGCATATCAATTAGCAGTCACTCCCAACCTCCTCTCACCCCCAAGTGTCTGGCAACCACTAATCTACTCCATATCTCTATTATTTTGCCTATACTGGACATTTCATGTAAGTGGAATAAAAAAACACGTGGTCTTTTGTGCCTGGCTTCTTTCACTTAAATATCTTCAAGGTTCATCCATGTTGCAGCACGTATCAATACTTCATTCCTTCGTAGGGCCAAATACTGTTCCACTACATGGATATATCATATTTGGTTTATCCGTTCATCAGTTGATGGATATTCATGTTACTTACAACTGGGGGCTATTGTCTCATAAATTTTTTAGTTTTCAAATCCTATCCAAATAAACACTATACACTGATGTCCCTTGAGTCTCTTCTAATCAATATATTCTATCTACATGTTCCCTCTTTACGTCTTTCCCTTTTATTTGCTGAAGAAACAGAACTGTTTGTCCTTGTCCTGCAGTCTTCCAGTATCTAGATTTGGATTATTATACTCCTACAGAGTAATTAAATAAGTTCCTGTGTCCCCTGGATTTTCTGTAAATTAGTAATCCAGGGATATGATCAGCTTCACATTTGTTTCGGCAAGAACACTTCATAGATGGCAGGCAATGTTATATTTCTTTGATGTGTGAGGCTCTGAATTACATACATATTCTAAGTGCACATGTGCTTTTGTGGAATAGGCTAATATTTCAACTTAATTTTTAGTTCTTTCTTCATGAGATTTTTATACTCTGTTGGCTCACCTGGCTATTACAGGTCACTACACAGCTGTCTTCAGTGAACTCTAGGAGCCTATGACTATACTTGTCCCATATAGAAACTTTTATGCTACTTTCCTACCCACCACACTATGAAAGGACTTCCTAAAGTTTATCACCATAAGTTTGGTATTTTACAACTTAGAAGAGGTTAAAAGTTACTAAACCTAACACTGCATCCCCTCCATCACAATGATCTCTGGGGAAAACCTATAATATACTTCGCCCAAAAAAGTACTCATCTATTCCTATGCGTCAACTCATGTCCTTTAAGCCACTACAGTCACAAAACAAAACACTACGTCCCGTCCAACCAGGTATAATTCACAGATATTTTCGTGCAGACTTTGACAAAGTCACTGAAAATCTAAGCAGATCAAAGTCAGTTATTTCTTTATATTTTTATAATCCCAAGTAACTGTAAGGCCTGATTGACCCCCTTTTAAGAAAGTCTCCTTTTCCTGAGTGACTCATACCACAGGCGCTACAGTGTGCAGCGGCACCTGTGATACCGAAGCCTTTAAGACAACTCTGAACTGAAGAATGGAGCAGGCGACAGCACCCCACTCCAGCACTCCTGCCTGGAAAATCCCATGGACGGAGGAGCCTGGTGGGCTGCAGTCCACGGGGTCGCTAAGAGTCGGACACCACTGAGCGACCTCACTTTCATTTTTCACTTTCATGCATTGGAGAAGGAAATGGCAACCCACTCCAGTGTTCTTGCCTGGAGAATCCCAGGGATGGGGGAGCCTGGTGGGCTGCCGTCTATGGGGTCGCACAGAGTCGGACACGACTGAAGTGACTTAGCAGTAGCAGAACTGAAGAATTCATTCTTACTGCTAAAGTTTCACTAAATGATTGAAGTAAAAAGTTGAGGCAAGTTAATCTGAACCAAAGATGTTACATGAAAATGAAATTATAAGTTCATATTTAACTCTAAATGCCAACTATGCAAAAAATGCTTTGAAATATTTTTTAATCACCAAATCAGCACAGCATTTGGCTTCACTTTTAAAAACTACTCACTTATTTTTCCTTAGACCATTATTGTGAAATAATAATAAACCCCTACTTAATAACTCTTTTCTCAAAAATCTAAGAAAGCATTATTGAATATACTCCAAATTTCAACAAGTTTTATTTCTAAAACACTTTTTATTGTTATCAAAGAGAGTCTCCACATGATTGTTAATCTTAAATTTGTGTCTTATAGGGCCCTCTTGTAAAGCAAATGAAAAATAAGAGTAAAATACCTTAAAATGTCCTGTGCCTTCATTAGCACTGAAAAATGAAAGCAAAATTAATCAATTTTAAACTATATATTTAATTATATAACACAGAAAAATAACATAAATATTTGAGAAACATCAATTTAATCTTAAAACACAGTCGCCTAACCCTTTATGAAATGAACAGATACAATTGTCATATCTGCCACCTAGTGGTAAGGTAAAGGCAGTTTTATACCATAGTTTATTTTGCTTTGTATATTTTCTTCCAGGAATCAAAAGCAGCCTTAATATTTAGATTTCCCCCACATATAGCATTCTAACATTTTCCAGTTTAAAGTAAAACGTCTTTTTCTTTATCATAATTAATGTGTTTTTTTCTCGACAGTAATATTTACAAGATAGAGTCCTTACAAGAAAGCTGCTACATTTCCTCTTGTTTTACTTGTAGCATAATCACCTGGGCATGATTTACTCAATTTGTCTTTTCCCTACAAGAACAAAGACTTTTGATTAAATCAATTACTCATATCATGAAGAGACAAGGAACAAACTTTTTTGAGCATCTACTATGCACCAGGAGTTATATTAAGTCTTCATATATTATGAATGTTTTTCATTCAGTCCTCACAGTAGCCCTGTAAATCAGGCATTAGAATCTCCAGTATACAGATAAGGAAAACTAAGCTCAGAGATTATTAATAACTTACTTAGGGTTATAGAGCCAGGAAGTAATAAAGCTGGGTTTCAAACACAGGTGTACATATATATATCAAGGCCCACATTCCTTTTTTTTTTTTGCCATGCTGCCCAGGATCATAGTTCTCTGAACAGAGATTAAACCTGGGCCATGGGTCACGGCAGTGAGAGTTGCAGAGTCCTAACCACTGGACCACCAGGGAATTCTTAAAGCCCACATGCTTTCTTTCCTATCATGTGAAGAATAGGAAAGGTCACAATAGCATCATCTAGAGTATTCTTATAATACAAATACAAAGACATTAAAATATAATATACATGTTTTAACTATTTATAAAGTATATTATATTGACATAAATATAAAACATAATTTATGTATACATACTATATATAGACTTAAACCTAAGATTATAACATAATCTTAAGAGTTACAAAATATTCTCAGGAATTCCCTGGTGGTCCAGTGGTTAGGACTCTGTGCTTTCACTGCCAAGGGTGTGGGTTCAATCCCTGGTGGAAGAACTAAGATCCAGCAAGCCATGCAGCCAAAAGATAAATAAATAACATAAAATAAAGTAAAACATCCTCTTCTTCATCATAAGAATTATTTCTATAGAATCCATGATGCATGGGCATCTGGCTTCTGCTTAAATGTCTAAAGAGATAGCTTCTTATTGACAAGTTAGTTCATTCCATTTATGGGCAACTTTAGAAAACGTTTGCACTGAATCAAATGTTTCTCCCTGTAACATACCTACTGGCCCTAGTTTCACCTTTTGGTGCTCTTGTGAATTAGATTCAGTTTTTCTGCCACCACACATGACATGGTTTTCACACCTTTTACTATTCTGATTACACCTCCATTGACCAACAGCTCTCTTAAAATGTAGTGCCCAGAGCTGAACATAAGACCCTAGTTGGCTAGCATAGCATACAGTGGAATAGCAACTCTCTGGTTTACTAAACACAACTGAGTTTAAGATTACATTAAATTTTTGCCGTATCTTCTCTCATACACTCTCATGTGAGTCCATTTTCTTTACCAGGCAGATGCTGTACATATTACAGCACCAGACTAACCTTTATTTCTGAATGAGCCTGCATTATTTCAATATGCATATATTATAATAATTTAGACATGTGAGGAATACCACATGTAGATTCTTATGACAATCCTGTGAGTTGGTATTATAATCTCCAATTTAGAAATATGGAAACTGATGACCAGAGAAGTTAAGCTACACCCTAAGGATTACATACCTTGAGTTATGCTTTTTCTGCATACACTATACTGCCTAAGATTATTTCTTTTATAATTTTCTACCTTACACATAGAAACTGAAAAACAAAAAGAAGCAGTATACAAGACTACTTTAAGATCACAAAAGCTGCATACCAAATTTGGAGGTGGAGTAGGGAATCTCACTTCATGCTCATTTCAGCGGTTGAAAAATCAGTGTCCACAGGCTAAACCCAGCTAAGTATTTTTGCTCCTCCAATTCAAGCAGGGTCATTAGCTGGATCAAATTTATCCTTGTACTTGCATCAGGTTAAAAATCTCACCTGCAATTTGTCCTACCATGAAAGAGCTTCCTATGGGTTACCCTCAGTAGCCTGATTTCAAGGGTAACACCAAGCTTTTCAATGTAATAAACATGGGGATTTAACTCTGAGGACTGGTGACTTCAAAAGGACTTCTTGCCACATTGGAAGCTTTCTTCCCCATAACCATTTGAAAACAGATAAAAGACTATTTTCTGATGTACACAGATTACCCATCATAATCAACAACATACAAGGGTCAGTTCTCTCATTTTACAGACAGGGAAGCTGAAGAAGCTAAAAACTACAAGTTACATGAGAGCAAGGGCCATGGCTGACTTATTTAAATTACATTCCCAACAGTTAGCAGACTGCTGTGCTGGTACACAGCAGCACCTTAATAAGCAGCTAATGCATTAACTGAAAGTGGTTAGTTCAATTTTACAAAGCTATATAACAAAGGAGTTAGGACTTAAATGGAGGTCTTCTTATTCCAAGTGAGGGCTTCGTTCTTCCTACAGCAGGGAACGTGTTAAAAATGGAACAGCCCTGGTAAACGGTAATGACTACTTTGAGTACTGTGGTCAAGCACGTCATGATTAAGTACTAGTTTGTGCTGCTGGCAGAGGCAGAGATAATGCAGCACACTTGGAACATATTTGCCGCAGAGGCAGAGATAATGCAGCACACTTGGAACATGTTTGCCATCTTTACATTACTGCCACTTTTCAAAAAAAGGTTTAAAAAAAGTTCCTATTGTGCATTAGTGGAAAAGGTCACATTTCCCCAAAATAATGTTTCAGAAATACAAATTCCTTTCAATTTTCAATTTTAATGAACTAAACTTATTAACAATCAAGTTACACAGTAAGAAGTCAAATACAATGAAAAGTAAGACTTTTTCTGATCCTAGATTCATAAACTCCAGTGCCCTTTTATAGAACTAACTGCTATCAACATTTTCTTAAATGTCCTTTCAGAAATGGTCTATCCTTGTTGTGGGGGGGAATATATACATATACTCACACATATGTCCACCACCCCCTTTTGAAAAAAACATAAATGAACACATGCTATATATTCTCTTCTACATCTTATTTTTCTCACTTAAGAAAGTGAATTTTCGCAATTGTTCCATACTAGCACATATGTTACTAGCACATGCTCATGTTCCACATACCATTAACTTACTAGTTCATTTTTGGACATTTATGCTGAACACATTCTTTAATAACAAAAAGTGCTATTTTAAAGTTTGATATTATATGATTTCTTATTCTTCTAAAGAATCTATATTTCATTTATCATAAAACACTACTAAGTGGGCTCAGTGGAGGCATAAGAAAGGTTTCTCACCTCTCAGGGATCCATAATATTTGAGAACACAGGATGAATACATAAAGAGATAAATACAACATAGTACAAGCTAGATACTAAATAAATAATACAGGCAACCTAGAGTTATAAGGAGGAAGTGACTGAGAAGTCAAATAGTCATCAGGGACATAAAATGGAAGATCTAGATTTTCCTATCCTGCAAACCATGTAATTATTTCAAAAACTACAGTTTGATACAGGCCAACTCTATGATGACAGTTGGTCTAACAATGCTGCAATATAATGGAGTACACTATATGTTACAGTGTTGGAAAGAAGCAACTTATATGAATTAGGGAGATATCCAATATTTGGAAAATAATTTGGCAAAACCAAGTAAAGTTGAAGTTGAACATATCCTGATTCAACAAACCTACACTCTTAGAGAACTATCTCACAAAGACACAAGGATATCTGTAAAAAAATGTTTAAAGCAACACTGTGTACAATAGCAAAAAAAATTGGAAACAACCTAAGTGCTCCAAAGTACAAGCAAAGATAAATTACGGTATGTTTATTTTAAGGGAACACCCAGTGAAAATGACTGAACTAGTTATACATTTTAACATGGATGAATCATACAGTGCTAAGTGAAAAAAGTTGGAAAACATAGTATGACACCAGTTAAGGTTTTTAAATGGACGAAAACAATTCTACATATTGTTTAGTAATACATACACATGTGGTAAACACATAAAAAAATGCATGGGAATGACAATCATTACTTTTAGGAGGATAATTATTAACCTCTAAGGGAAGCAGGGAATGAATAGGGAGAGGTAGCTAAGTGCCTTCTACCATAATAGCAAGGTTGACTTTGAAAGCCAGATGATAGAGATATAAGTAGTTATTGTGATACTCTCTAGTACCTTAGCTCAGGATGATTTTCTAACTGTTGGGACTTTAAAATTTCTTTATTTTAAAGTTCAGAGGTAGAGGTTTAGGGTACTCACCCAATAAACTCTAGTAATAAAGACATGTCAAGTTCAGGTGGAATACGAAACACTGATTCTAAGACTTTCTTAGTTCTTCCTTTGCTTGAAGTGACTGGCTGTGGAACAGCTATTTGATAGCCAAACAAAAAAGTTGAATTAGAATAAAAACTTCTTAAATTGAGATCTCTGAAAAATAATTACAAAGATTTAACTATGTTGACTACTTAAAAATCATAAAGCACTCACTCTCCCTTTTTAAAATAACATTAGCTAATCTGTCAAAGCCAGTGAAATTAGAGACAAGCCTGGGGAGCGCTCCACAGTGGAAGGCAAACATATGTGGCTTGTTTATCAGGGCCACAGAGAAAGCTCAGCATAAAAGCAACAATAGCTGTGAGTAATCCTTAATAAGCACTACTATATGCCAGGGCTCATGCTCAGCACTTTTTATATGCACTATCATATTTAACCCTGATTATAATTCCATGGCATAGGTACTACTGCTTTTCTTTTTAATTGAAGTATGTTATGTACTTTAACTGTAGAGAAAATGAGATTCAACTTAATAAGATTAGGCAATTTGCTTGTAGTCACCCATATAGTAAGTGGAAGAATGAGGATTTAAACTCAAATCTAACTTCAATACTGTGACATTACCATCACCATAAAAACCAGCATTTGAGCAGTTACTATGTTCCAGGCACTGTTTTAAGTGCTTTGCATTACTCACTGAGTCTTTACAACAACTTTATAAAGTGCTACAATTATCCCTGCTTTATAGAAGAAGAAACTGAAACACTGAGGTCATCTGACCAAGTTATACACCTAATAAGGTGGCAGAGCCAGGATCACAATCCAGCTCCAGAGCCTCTACTCGTTAAGCCTTACAAACTGGATTACAGTACATCACTGCATTCAAAATCTTTCTCTCTCTTTGATCAAAAAATAACCAGCTATCACCAAAAAAGAACCTCAAAGGGAGTGAATTTTATTAAGTTAGTATTCTTTAATCTATAAACACATTGTGATATACACCCAAACTTACCAGGTTTAGGTACTTCTAGACCTCTTTCTTTATAGAAATCATGCATTTGCTTTTTTTCTCCTAAAAAATGATAAAACACAGACTAAATTACACTTAAAATGTAACTAATAGAGTCAGAAGAGATATTGGGACTTACAACTAGGTAATAAAATAAACTTACTTTCCTCTAGATTGATCACTAATTTGTACACTATGTCTTGTAACTGTCGGTCCAACCTAATAAAAGGAAAGGATGGAGAATACCTCAGAATTCAGAAAAAATGCATTTGGTACAGAGTGAATGACGCTGTTTGTAAGTAACTGTTTTCTCTTAGGAGTGAATATCTCCTTTCTCAGAGGTGAGTTACTTTTAGGTAGCACTAATGGTTCTCTTCTAAGAGAACTTCAAGTAATTACATGTAGTCATAATTATAAGTAATTATAGACTCTTGAACAGTTTGCTAAATTGTTCCACGTGAACTGGTCTTATTTCCTAAATAGGAATGTGAGTTTGAGGGCAGAGAAAGTACTTAAAAATTCTGTGTATCATCTGCAAAATACTCTTCTATGAAGTAGTAAAAACATAATAGCATTTGCTAAACAAATGAAAGCAGTCCACTTTCAGTGTTTTTCTTCCCTTAGCAAACTGAGCATGAACTGAAAATTTGATTAATAAGCCACAATGACCTACGACAGATAGGTTTTTCTAAAGAGGCCAGTTATTTCAGTTATTACTTTTAAAAATAAAATTCTAGATACACAGAAAATGACAAGCCTAAACTAGCTTCATCAACTTTAGTGATGGAATTAAAATTCTCAAGAAAAGAGGTCTGTACCTTTTTTTTTTTTTCTTTTAAGGTTTACAGCAGATGTCACAGTGCCTGGTACACAGTAAGTGCTCTATACGTATTTCTTTAAAGAATATGCATTTCCCTTTCTCGTCATTTTGAGATAGTCAAGAATTTACTACCAACTACACAATTTCAATGTTTCAGAAAAAGTATACTTAAAATATAAATGTTACTTATTTTTCTTACCTTATGTTGTAAAGAGGTTGTGTCTGATGTACTACTATGTTGCATTTTGGACATCTGTTACTATAGTAAAAGTGTCTGACAATGCAGCTTTTACAAACTGTTGGGGGAAAATGTTGGAATTAGAATGTTTTCAAGACATTTCAAAAACTTAATATATTATTTGGAAATGTAATGAACTATACGCTTACATGTATGAAGACATTCTGTAATGGTAGTTGCATCTATTAAATAACCTTTGCAAATGGAACACAAGATGTAGGGAGTCAGCTCAGAGAGATTGATCAGGCGCTGCAAATGCAATGGAAACAGATTACAAGTCCTTGCCAAAAAAAAAAAAAAGTCCTCTCCAAGTCATAATTCCTAAATTTTTAAATTAACAATGTGTAGTTTACTTTGCAACATGGAAACATGTTGTAACACCTCAGACCCTTCAAATACTCTCAAAGTTACAATAATACAATATGAACCAATGTTTCAAAAAGATGTCATTCTTTTTGGAGCTACTGTATTGAATTATCACAAAATGGACAAACTTTCCAGATACTGGTGTTTAATATACAAATTCTGACTGGCTCGGTATACTGTCTGAATTAATGAAGTACGCGCTGCCCCAATTAAAAAAAAAAATCTTCCCAATTAGAGATTGACTAGGTGGGGAAGAGTTTCCCCCACACTCTCAACATCCGGTAGAACTGGACTGTACTCCCAGCCCCTGTAAGCTTCTAGGAGGCAGGAGAACAGTACCCTCGGCGCCTACATTCCTGGCACGCAGTAGCTTCAATAATGAGTGAGTCGGACCGAGGGAGCTTAAGTGACTGCCGAAATCTTACAAAATGAGTTGGCAGGGACAGAAGGCCAGTCCCCGCCACAAGCAAGCGGCGCAAGGAGAGGCAAGGGTGGACTCCAATGCCCAAGGATGCAGCGGCGAGCGGGGACATCCGGCCCGGCCCTAACGGAGGAGGGCCAGCGTGGTCAAACAGGGGCTATCAATACCTCCTCCTCATCCTCGGAGTCCGGCCGGCCCCCCTCCAGCCTCAGCGAGAAGTGGCTCATCTCTTCCTCCTCTTCCTCCTCTTCTTCTTCCTCCAGGTCCTCATCTTCTTCCAACTCCTCGTCCTCGTCCTCGAAGCGGCCCCTCAAGCGGCCCAGGCTGCGTTCCGGCTCCAGCTCAGGGGGCCTGGAGCCCGAGCAGCCGGGATCCCCCGCCTCGGGTAGGGGCGGCGGGCCCTCCTCACCCGCTGTGGGCGCCGGAGTGAGGGCAGGCGGGGAGACGGGAGGCGGCGGCGGCATGGCTGCGGCTTCCTCAGCCTTGGCAGCGCCCACGTTACCCGCGGTTACCGCCGGGACCCCCTCCATGCCGTAGGTAGAGAACAGACGAGGCGAGACCAGGTGGCTGGATAGCGCGGGAGTTCCGTCCGCCTGCCTGAGCTGCCAACGCGCAGGCGCTAGAGGCCTGCAGGGCCCGCTGGGAAATGTGGTTCACCGCCCCTCACCTAAGCCGGGCCGTAGGCGGAGCCACCAGGTATATGGGGCGGGGCTTGCAGGTCACAACTTAGAATAACCTCACCCATTTTCTACTTCGAAAGACTGATGCACTCCACACTGCTTACTAAAAACGACGTAATTGGTTCCTTGTAGAGAACAATATTCTGTTTGCATTGACAGATGCGCGGAGCCCTGAAATAGCTGCTATAACGATGTTGCATTATGAATAATAAATGATTTCAACTTGAGTACCACTGATGTTGTTCTATGCAAGAATATTTCCATTAGGAAGTATGAAATTTCTACTTGGAAATATGTAAGTTTATTTGGAGGAATTAATGCTTGTATTGCCACACGGTGGAAATTTAATCATAATCCAAAGACCATTTGTGATTCCCCATCACATAAAGGAATGTCCATTCTATTTAATTCAGCAAATATTTATTGAGGGCCTGCTGAAGCAGGAACTGAGACCTACCAATGCATCCCAACCCCCCAGTCTTATTAGGAGATTTGGGGCTGGTGTACTTTATTCTTGGTAAGATATTGGCAACTAATGTTGTGAAGTTTGGAAGCCAGATTCAGAGAGGAGTCAAATGTCCCTTAATGAAATAATGCTGTGGGAAATGACATCTGTGAGAAAATGTGTTGTCACCAAGTAAAATTAATGCTGTCTTGGGAGTGCTGTACATACTTCTCAGGGAACTGGTGAAGATATCAAGTTCCTATGCTCATTTGGGTAAAACTGAGCTGGATTTGGTGCTGAAACCAAAAAACTTAGACTGGGACTCAAAACCCCATGTTAGAACTTCAAATGCTGCCAAAACTCAGATTGAGACTTGAATCCATGGTGTTTTAACTGAGATCACACATCTGGTCTCAGGACTTAGTGAAGCTCAGTTTCTTCTTTTTTAAAAAATGTATTCATTTATTTTTGGCTGTGCTGGGTTTTTGTTGCTACACTGACTTTTCTCTAGGTGTGGCAGGCAGGTCTACTCTTTAGTTAAGGGATGCAGGCTTCTCATTGCAGTAGCTTCTCTTGTTGCAGAGCATGGGCTCTAGGGTGAGGGTTTCAATAGTTGTGGCACATGGGCTCAGTAATTGTGGTGCACAAGCTTGGCTGCTCCATGGTGTGTGGGATCTTCCTGGACCAGGGATTGAATCTGTGTCTCCTGCATTGGCAGGTGAATTCTTTACCACTGAGCCACAAAGGAAGCCCTAAAGCTCAGGCTCTTTATGTCTCAATGCAGAAAGAACTAAGTGAAAGACAAAGTGATAGATAAGAGGTGAATTTATTTAGAGAGAAACACACTTTATTACCGGAGAAGGCAATGGCACCCCACTCCAGTACTCTTGCCTGGAAAATCCCATGGATGGAGGAGCCTGGTAGGCTGCAGTCCATGGGGTCCCTAAGAGTTAGACACGACTGAGCGACTTCACTTTCACTTTTCACTTTCATGCATTGGAGAAGGAAATGGCAACCCACTCCAGTGTTCTTGACTGGAGAATCCCAGGGATGGGGGAGCCTGGTGGGCTGCCATCTATGGGGTTGCACAGAGTCAGACACGACTGAAGCGACTTAGCAGCAGCAGCAGCACAATCTATAACGAGACTGTGGGCCATCTCAGAAGGCAAAATATGGGGTGGTTGTTTTTATGGACCAAGTAATTTCATAGGCTAATGAATAGGAGGATTATTCCAACTATCAATATTTTGGAGAAGGGGTAGAGATTTCCAGGAATTGGGCCACCACCCAGTTACAGTCAACCTCGAAACAGACATAGTATATGTGGGTGTGTCATTTAGCATGCTAATGTATTGCAATGAGTGTGTGATGAGGTTCAAGGCCTACTGGAAATCTAATCTGCTCTCTTGGACCTAGTTGGTTCTAACCACTTTTGTTATATCTTCAAGGACTGTGTCATTCCTTTAGAAGTTGTGCCTTGCCCCGTTCCGTCCTGTTTCAGACCGCATCCATGGCTCCTGAATTAGGCTTCACCTCTCTCTTTGAAGTCCCCAAAGTCTGATCAGGCCTGAGATATGGAGGTTTGCAAGATCCAAGAAGACATGGAAGGAAGGAAGAAAATGTCTCCTCCTATAAGGAGTGTAGAGTCTCAAGGGAGGAGGATGGGAACTGGACTATAACACTGAAAGAGGATGGTTGAAGAAACTGAAAGGGCAGACCTAGATACCCAAGGCGCTCTCCTTAAAAGGCCTAAAACTGCAAAAGCCTCCACATAATTACATTAAAAGCCATAGTTTCTAACCCTGATTGACATTGTAAAAGCTATCTGACAAAATAATTGCTTGTACTGTGCATTTCAATAATATAATTTTAAATTAGTTTATATAAAAATATGAATAGCAATATTAATAAAGTTTTACTTTATTAATATTATTATTATTATTTATTATTATGAAATATTGAAAACCTTAAAATTTTAAAAAATACAATCAAGAATTGCAGTATTTTCAAAGCTGATAAGCTGAGTAAATTATAAACTTGCATTACTGCCACAAGGGCCTGTCAGTATAGTTGGTAAACTAAAGTATCTGCAGCCTTTGTCAGTCCTTTGGTATGATAGCTAGTTTTTTTAACTTAAATCACTTATTTATTTGTTGGCCACACCATGCAGCATGTGGGATCTTATTCCCGAAACAGGGGTTGAAGCAGTGTCCCTTGCAGTGGAGTGGCAGAGTCTTAATCACTGGACCATCATAGAAGTCCCATGATGGCTCATTTTATGTGACAACTTGGCTAGGCTATAGTATAGTTATTCAAAAGCTTATGTAGGTGTTACTGTGAAAGTATTTTGTATATGTGATTAACATTATAATCAGAAACTAAGTAAAAGATACTATCCTTCATAATTTGAATGGACCACATCCAATAAGTTAAAGAGCCTTAGAAGCAAAACTAAGATTTCTCTGAGGAAGAGATTCTTTCTATAGACTGCATTATCAGCCCATACACAGGAGTTTCCATTCTGTTGGCCTGCCCCACAAATTTCAGACCCTGCTTAGCAAGCACTCACCATCATATAAGGGAATTCCTTGTAATAATAAATCTTACATATATATATATATATCTCCTACTGATTATATCTCTTTGGTAGAACCCTGACTTATACATATGGCAAATGGCTCAATTATGTGATATTTGTAATATGCAGGCCTTCCACAATGTATCTGTTTTGTCAAATGAGAATTTCTTGTACTCCATTGTGATCATGTGTGTTACCATATCAAAGTTATATTTGGAGCACTTATCTGGGATCTTTACATTTTGATAAGGTGCCACAACTGAGTCATGCCCTAGATTGAGCCAGAACTTCACTCTCACCCTGGATGCTATCTTGTTAGAACGGTATAAATGTAAAACAGCAAAAATGGATCTAGCACAACCGGTAATTCTAGTCCATATATCATGATTAGTTGTAGGAAATATAAAATATCAATATCAGAAGGTGTTTTTGTTTGTCTGTTTTGTTGGGGGAGAGAGGTTTGCTTTGATATTTCAAACAGAAAGCTATATCTAGGGGGTTCCTGGTGGCTCCGTGGTTAAGAATCCACCTGCCAACGCAGGAGACACGGATTCCGTCCCTAATTCGGGAAGATCTCATATGCCATAGAGCAACTAAGGCCATGCATCACAACTACTGAGCCTGTACTTTAGAACCTGGGAGCCACAACTACTGAGTCCATATGCCGCAACTATGTGCCACAACTAGTGAAGCCGCAACTATGTGCCACAACTAGTGAAGCCCATGCACTCTAGAGCCTGTGCTCCACAATAAGAGAAGCCACTGCAAGGAGAAGCTCTCACACCACAACTAGAAAGGAGCCCTTGCTCTCCACAACTAGAGAAAAGCCTGTGCAGCAACAAAGACCCAGCACAGTCAAAAAACAAATAAATAAAAGCAAAGACATATGTAAAAATCATTGGGAATTCCCTAGTGGTCCAGTTGTTAGGATTCCCGGCTTTTACTGCTGAGGGCCAGGGTTCAATCCCTGGTTGAGAAACTAAGATCCTGCAAACGACTTGGCGTGGCCAAAAAATAAAAATTGATATTAGTTTATGCACTAATTCACTATGTCCTTTACGAGATAGCAGAGTCTGGTGGTCTGTAAAGAATAGTAGGTCCTTGGGAACCAATTTTTTTCCTTGTGAATTTGTTTTTATTGGGATAAGAAGGGTGGATTGGGAAATATCTCCATGGGCTAAGGCCCATCTGGGAAATGTCCATTCTAATCTTCCTGGTACAGCTTTTGGACCTCTCTTTCTGTTGAAGCTACTGTTCTTGCTGCCAGATGCCTTCAGGTCCACTCCTTCTGAGCACCAAAATTTTAAAGCAGATCCATGACCAACATGGTAGGACTGGTTGGGGGGTCAAAAAATCCATAAATGCTCCTTGGAACTTGGAGTAATTTCTTTTGTTACAAAATAAATTATTCACCAAAGACTTTAATCAGCCTGACAGTTCTCAAAAGGCTAAACTAAGAGTTACCATACAGGGATTCCCTGGCAGTCCAGTGGTTAGGACTCCACACTTCCATTTCAGAGAACATGGGTTTGATCTCTGGTCAGGCAACTAAAATCCCTCATGCCTGCATGGCCAAAAAATAAGGTTAGTATATAACCCAGCAATTCTACTCCTAGGTATATATTCAAGAGAAATGAAAATATATGTCCACTCAACAGCTCTTACATGAGTGTTCATAGCAGCATAATTTATAGTAGCAAGAAAGAATTCCAACAGTCAACAAGATAATGGATAAATAAAATGTAGCCTATCTATTCAGTGGGATATTATTTAACCACAAAGTGAAACAAAGTACTGAAATATGCTACAACATGAGTGAACTTTGAA